CTTGTTACCGCATTATATAAAACACGAAATGATCTTTCTGGGCTCTTTGATAGTAAAGATTGGCGACCGCAGATGATGGCTGATAAGCCGACTGCAGATGGACGATCTGAAACTCAGTTTAGAGATAAATGTAAAATATTTACTGAAGGAATCAGATGCTGACGATATATCAGGAGGAATAATGCCACTAAATGTACAGTATTTAGACAGTAACACGTGTTGCTTTGGGCTCTTTCACTGTAAATAATAAAGGATTATTTACTACATTAAACAATTGTGGCGTAGAGAACTGTGTGGGCGATTCAGGCTTTTAGCACAGAGCACCGAAAGTTCAGCTGTCTGGAAGCGTTTAAACAGATGCACTTTAATTTCATGAAGAATTATCATATCGTGTGCTAAGGTGAAGACCTGAGACGCCACAGGATGAGCTGACCTAAAAAAAATCTGCATCAAATTTTCTGTGTGTGCCAAAAACTTTAACCTCGAGATCGAACGTGAAAGTGGGTCGACGTTCAAGCCTCGTCATGCATTCTGTGTGGTTTGGAGATGAAGATCAAAGAAGAGGGAGAGAGCAACCAAAAAGGTGACATCATGAGAGGAGGTGTCCTTCACCATAAAAATCTGAGCAGCTCCGAGTTGCAGTCACACAGAACACCACGAAACAAGAAGGAAGACGACACCATAGCCTGACCCTCCGCTTTCTGACAAGAGCCAGCAGAGCCTGAACCTCCAGCAGATCCTGAACCTCCAGCAGATCCTGAACCTCCAGCAGAGCCCGAACCTCCAGCAGAGCCCGAGGAGCCTTCAACCCACAGAGCCCCAGGGTTAAAAAAAAAAACACCCAATAACTTCTCGACCTGGAAAAAACCCCAAAAACGAAACAACCAGAACATCCGACCGAAGAACGAACAGAGAAGCCCGACAGCATGTTTTCAGCGACAAACAAAGTGACGGTAAGAAAACGCTCGCCTGTGTTAGCTGTTAGAGACGCCACTAAAAGCTTTATCGAAGCTCCAAATTAAATGATTACGTAGCTATACAACTTGCAAATGTTGAAATAGTTTCAGGGGGTTGCTGATAACTTAACACAAGAAACTTCCACGCGTCACTCATGTAATGCAACAGTGCCACAAAAACAACAACTGGTCCCTTATTCTTTTCTTATTTTACATTTTATTCACTTAAAAAACGACATTGTCTGGAAGTCCTCTGTTACGTCATCATAAGAACAAGTTTTACAAACGTGTTGATTTTATGAAAAAATAATAATTCTGCCAAATGCCTCTTCCTGCTAAAATGACGTTCTTCCTCACCACAGTCTCCGGTCACTGCGGTTTTATTGCTGATATTGCAGGCTTACAATATAAAGTGTCATCTATAGATAACTCTGGATTTTGAAATTGTGTCTTGCAGTATCTCGTTGAAAACTGAGAAAAAGTTTATCACAGTGACGCTATCTAAAAATGTGGCTTCTCTTCCTCAGGCCGCCTGTGTCGTGGCAATAATGATGATGATGATCACAGAGGCTGCGGCCATGCCGAAGACAGGAAGGACACACAAGCATGG